TCCAATAGGCGAATAAAATGGTTGTTTGTACTTGGGAGGCAGTTAAGGTATTGCTAATTATGACCTTTTGAAGTCTTTATTTGCTGCATGCTCCTTATAGATGAAGTGAGATTCTAATGTTTTGTCCTAATCCTTCGCTAAAGACCTTGTAGCATTGGAATGTGGAGACTGGCAACTTTTTTAGTGGCCTACTTGGAAAAGCGCTAACATTTATTACCGCGTGGCTCATGGTCAAAAACGAAGAGAAATCAGGTAGTTTTAACCAGACATAAAAGTTATATTCATTCAGAAGAAAAATCACAAGGCCAAGTCCTGAGCTTTTATGGATCGAAAAGTTACCGTAGTTCGACTGTGAAGTCTTGAATATTTTGCATACTTTGTCTCTGTAAAGTCCTAAATATTTGCTTATGATACAAAGAGTTTTTTCATTGTTAAGAGAGAAATTATGCAGCTTCCTTCTGACAAACATGGAAGTCTATAATGTCTTGGTTTCCGCCTGTGCAAGGCAAACACATACTTTTTCTTTGCTCGAAACAGAGAGAGGCGCTGAGCCTTGGCAGTGGGTGACTAATGTTGGTTTGTTGGGAAGGTAATTTTGTTTTTATGAGATGTATTCAGAATTAAATATACACGGTCACTCTCTTAACGAAATAGGTAGGAGTCTTAGGTTATGCATTTGGGAACTTGCTATGCTGCTTGTTGTGGATGTACGGGCAGAAGAAAGGTGCGAAGTTAGAGTACTAACTATAATGATTTTGCGCAAGAGTCTGCCTTGCCAGTCCAGTGATTGTTTTGGCTTACAGCTCAACGTTGAAATATCGTAATCATGCTTTGCTGTAAAGGCAGGGACTGTTAGCATAGACCTAGCATCTTCTGGAGACCGGCAATTGGACATAAAGAGCATGCAGGAAACCATTAACATGGGATCCATCGAAGACGTTTCTGTGAAATTTTGGAGTGAACTGGCGGTAGGATAGTGGAATTATGTTGAAACTTCCAAACACTGCTGAAGTTTTCCTATTTTTGTGTTGTTTTTTACTTTTCAGTCGCTTAGTCTTTTAATAGTCTTTTTTCCGTCCCCGTTGCCTTTGTCCCTGGTTGGCCATTATGCTTTGATTTTGGCAAGGAGTCATTTCTTTTCCTGTTATTTCATACTCCAATGGCTACAAAGATGAAAATTTTCAAGGGATTTAGGAGAAATGAGCTGGCAAATTTTGTTCCAAGATTCAAGACTTTGCAATGTTTGGCAAGTTTTTGTTTTTAATCAAGTTTTGTCACTGCAATAAGTGTCATGCGGTAGTCACCTGTAAAATTATGATAGGCTAAAGGATTCCCTTTGTGACGTAATCGGGCCTTTACCGCCATTTGCAACTTGGAAATAGGACTACTTTAGCAAATGCAAATTGGAAAATTTTATAGGTTTTTACAGGAAGACAAGGAAATTTGGTTTTTGTGTTAGTTGTTGCTTTGCGTTGTAGTGTGTTTTCTGAGACTTGATGTGTGAAGTTGCAGGTGGAGGCCGCGCAGCTGGATGGTCTGAAGGAGAATGTAAAGGAAGAGGCAGGGTGGTTCGCCGTTCAGCATATGTGGAAAAGCGCCAGAGGATGTCGCCACTGTAACAATGTGTCTGCTCAAGTTATTAGTCTTACTCCGGTCAGTGTTCGTTGTCAAGTTGTGGTCCAGTCCAAATTTGACAGTAGAACTACAAACCGTCTGAAAAGTTTGAATTTGGAAACATCAAATTGACAAAAAAGCAGGTATGCTTCGTTGTTATCATTTTCCTCTAATCCCGTCGTGTAGGTGTTATATCTTCGATCATCGAATCTTGAAAAGAAAGTTATGATATGCAGAACTAAATATTGTCTTTATTAGAAATAGACAGGCCTTGGTGGTATCATCAAATTAAGAACTCCTTGCTTAAAATAAAGAAGAAAAGTTATCTCAATGTTCGGTAATATTGGATGATAATTGTCTTCTTACAGAAATCGATTGTTCTGGGTAAAGTTTTGTGTTATCTTTGCAATTCAAGCTTTTTAACGTTGGAAGACACAATAGTGATATTAAATGTAATGGCATGCCGCTCTGTCAGACAGAAAATAGTAATACCTGAGGGCATTCTGTCGTTTAATTTAGCAGCATCCGGCAAGTTTCAATTGCTCGTTATCTAATTTCCTGATGCAGTTGGCGTTGTTTTTTCTTGCGCGCAATATGCTATATGTTCTGCCTTTGATGCTTGTTGCAAAGCGAAGATAGGGTTTGTCCTGACTAACTAGCCGCAATCTTCGTCTATCCAAACTGAGCTTCAAATCAACCTTCTTTAAACTAATGTCATCGTATTAAGCAGTTCGCCTAGAATCAAGGCATGCGATTAAGAATCTCTTGAAAAGGCTAAAACAAAACGTTGAACTTCCCATTGCCGCTTTGACCAGACTAAAGGCCTAGTAGTTGTTTTGCCGCTTGGCAGTTTTCAGCGAACTGAAAATGCCAGGAAGTGTCCGAGGGCCATGCAGACCCGGCAGGATATCTGAAGATGAAAGCTGCTATTTAGTTCAAATCCTGGCCAGGCTTGATGTTCAGATCGTTTCTCTGGGATTTGTCAGTTGAAATTCCAATGACAGCTGGTATGCTGTTAGTGTGGTGGCAAGAACGGGAGGTGGGAAGTCCACTGGTTGTGTAGTCTTGTGACGGATTCTCATGATCGCTGAATTCTGGTGAAGTTGCTTATAGATGGCATTAATTTTAAAGAAGCATGAAGGCTCCGGCTGAGATGTTGCGAATGATAGTTTTACCAAACTTCCCACCGTTGAAAGAAATTAATATCCTTGATAACGAAAGAACACTTAATGAAGCCTATTGGTAGAAATTTATTAATGTTCTGGAGAATGATATGTGCACTAATATTATGTAATAGCCGAAGGTTAAGAAGTTAATCCAATCCCTATTGTTGATAAACGTAAAGAATAGGCCAATTAAAGAGTAATAACTGTCCAAGAAAAGTCAAGATTGTGGCACCTTTAAAAACTTGATCCGACAACGTGTTGAGTTGGTTGGCTGTTGGCCGAAAGGAATTGATATGTACTATCTGATTGGAACTTTCTGCAACCTGTCTGCAAAAGAGAAAAGCTTCAAAGATTGGACCAGTTTCTGGTGGTGGTTAAAAGGCTCCTTCGTGCTCCACTCGTTGATTTTCTGATGATTTTTCTTCGTGTCCTTTTTCAGTGGGCTTAAAAGAATCCAACTGGGATTGGGTTTTATTCGGATTGTTGGAAAAACACAAATCCAGATTAGGCAAGTGTAAATGCAAAAGGCTATGAGACTTAAGGCAGTAGCATAGAAGTGAGAGGATGGAGAAAGAAGAGAGACGAGAGAGAGAGCGAAGATGGGTGGTGCTCTTGCTTGTATATGTAGTATAAAGCTAGCGTGGATGTTTAGTAGCCGTTAGGTGTTTAGCAGTTGGTATTTATTTGAAGAATGTGTATATATTAAACTAGGCTGGGTAAGTGTGTAATTTATTTTGGAGAATTTACATTTATAAATTATAAATTAGGGCGGTTAAGATCAGTGCATAGATTGAGTTAAACTTTTATGTGTTGAAAATTATTTTATTATAGATAAAAATAAAAATAGATATTAAACTTTATGTTTGAAATTATTTTATTATGATAAAAATAAAAATCAGAATTTAAGTAAACGAAGAAGTTAGTATTATGAAATATGTTCAAGGTTAGAATTGTAAATTAAATTATTAAACTTTATTTTGAAATTATTTTATTATATAAAAATAAAAATAGAATTAAACTTTATTTTGAAATTATTTTATTATATAAAAATAAAAATAGAATTAAGTAAACAAGAAGTAGTATTATAAATATCTTCAAGGTTAAATTGTAAATATAAATTAACACTATAGTTATTCTAGTTTAATAATAACGTATACTTTAATATTATATAAATAAAAAATTAAATGATAAAAAAGAAATTAATTAAAAAGAACGAGTATAATCGATGTGGAACTCACATTATAAAAAAAAAAAGTAACTAATAAAAATAGTGTTACTTAATCAAAATGCTAAAAGCTATATTAAAACCTATCGCCGAACATAGCATTATGAAAGATAGATTATCGATCCTAAAATTAAAAATTTTGTAAGAAATTAAAATTTAATAAAATGCACTAATTATAGTTCATTACATAATATAATATACTTTGTCTATTATGGTTTTGTGAGTTTGGCTCCAGTAAATTTAAAAAGCAAAGATATCAAAAATAGCTCTGTTTTGGAAGATATAATATAATGTAGAACTCAATTATTTGTTTGACCTCAGATTAAATTAAGTTGCAAGAGAAATTGTATATGATTGGTAACTTAGCTTAAAGGGGAATATTATTTTGGGACATTGTATTTTTTTTTTTAATTTTTTAATCTCTTCTACCATGTGGTGTTTAAATTTTTATTTGTCCATATCCAGTCCTTTAACTTTTAATTCAATAAAGATTAAGCCCTAAAATAACAAATCATTCAATTTTCTTTATTTTAATTTCAGATACATTTGATTAAAGGAGAAGGAATCTCATCCACTCCGTCCCAAACAATGATGGTTCAGATATCTTATTTTAATACTCATAACGGCAATGTTATACTATGATTTCATTACATTATTACTCCCAAAAATAATGTGAAGAAATGGTTGTTAGCTTGAAGATAGCTTGAAGATATATATATCTTGTTTGTTGATTAGTTTGTAGTTTGTTAATTTTTGTTAGGTTTGTGTTGTTGATTAGTAGCATTTAAATATTTCTTTTATTGGAAATAGAAGGCTTGTTGATTAGTATCATCCAATTAAAACTCTTGTTTAAACTAAAAGATAAGTTCATCTCAATTTCGATAATTCTTCTTAAGAATCTTTGTTCTGGTATAAGTTTTTGTATATCTTTAAGCAAGCTTTTTAGTTGCAAAATACTTGCTATCTACTGTAATAGGTAACTTCGAAGCACACGATTCATCAATGACTCTTAACGTTGATGTTCTGTTCTGTAACAGCAAAACGAGAAACTTTATCATCCTGTCATTCATGACCGCAAGAGAAACTTTTCCCTCGCATCTGCCATTTGTTTTAGCTTTTCTCACTGGAAAGCTTTCCATACAATTGTGTAGTGCTCATATTGCATATGGAAACAGAAGCTCCAGGAAGGAAAATAATGATGCCTATTTTTTCTTTACCCTTTTTATGCCTATATCATCTTTTCCATGCCTTCATGCTAAAATGGAAAATCTATGATTGAAATAAAATTCCAGAAACATATATATTATTTTCCTTTCACATAACTCAAAACTCTCTAAGCATGAGTTGTCCTTTCCCCTTACGATGCACTCATGTGAAGTGACACCAAGGAAGCATAAGCTCCATTTGTGATCTTCATGAGTGTGTCATGTCTTCCTTTCTCAGCAACTACTCCATTCTTGACTACAGCAATTATATCAGCACCTTTAATAGTTGCAAGGCGGTGAGCAACAACCACGGTGGTTCTATTCACCATTACTTTATCTAATGCATCTTGTACAACCCTTTCTGACTCTGCGTCTAGTGCACTTGTTGCCTCGTCAAGCAAAAGAATTTTTGGATTCTTTATTATTGCCCTTGCGATGGCTATTCTTTGCTTTTGCCCACCGGATAGTTGGATCCCTCGTTCTCCGACAGAAGTATCATAGCCATGTGGCAATGAGCTAATGAAGCTATGTGCGTTAGCAGCTTCTGTTGCTGCAATTATTTCTTCCTCACTAACATCTCCTTGCTTGCCATAAGCAATATTTGCACGGATTGATTCGTTGAAGAGTATTGGTTCTTGTCCTACTAATCCCATTTGTTGTCTTAGCCAACCTAGTTTAAGTTTCTTGATTTCTACATTGTCTAAATGTACAGTGCCAGAATCAGGATCATAAAATCTTTCTATAAGACTAACTACTGTTGACTTCCCGCTGCCACTTTCTCCGACCAAAGCAACTGTCTGCAGATATAGAGATGTGAAGCTGAGGAAATTACTTGAATAAAGACTAGATGATAGTTAAACTGTTAAGTCAAATTTTTTTTCAGGCACTAAATATCCCAGACAAGTACCTTTCCTGAGGGGATAATAAGGGACAAGTCGCGGAAAATTTGAACGTCAGGTCTCGTTGGGTATTTGAAACTGACATGTTTAAGCTCAATTTCACCATTTACATGTGTAAGTGTGCTGCCTTCGTCGCTACTCGAGTCAATTTTTGACTTTCTGTCGAGAATGGCAAATATTGATGCTGTTGAATCCTGGGCTTTGCTTTTATCTGGAGCCAAGCCACTGGATTGGGAAACCCCAATTGCTGCGATTGTCAATGCAAAGAAAACCTGACAAAAGTTTGAAGTTAGAATTGGATTAATATTATCTGTGACAATGCATTGCGAAAATAGAAAGAGTTGCCAGTTCATATCTTACCTTGAAAACTTCTGAAAAAGTTGCTTTTCCATGTTGGACAAGAACAGATCCTATGTAAAAACAAAATGCGTTTGTGCAATAGAGAACAAAGAATGAGAATCCAAAACCAGCACCACTAACAATTCCAAGCCTAATGCCTTGTTTTACAGGACCACTACATTTGTTGTGGTACAAATCCATCACCTTCTTCTCTGCACAAAATGATGCAACAGTTCTAATGCTCCCTACTGCATCATTTGCCACTTGACTTGCTTCTTCATACATCAGCTGCAAAAATTTAAACTATCAGAGCTAAATAAACACAAATTTGCTTCAGAAAATACAAAATTTACAGAGCAAAGTTAACCTTGGCATCTGCACTGAACCCCTTCGTAAATCTTGCCTGAATAAAACCTTGGAATAGTAACAACGGTGATATTGCAACTATTATCAATGCTAGAATCCAATTGGCTGTGAATGCTATAAGCAATGCTGCTGTCACAGTCGCTATGTTTTGCACAATTAAGGCCAATGTATCACCAACAAGACTCCTAACTGTTGAGGCATCTGTAGACAATCTTGCTCCAACAGCACCACTGGAAAATGATAAGGCATTCACAGTTAGAGTAGCAACCATTGTTTTCTTTATTCTTTTTCTTTCTTCTCGAAAAGATTGTGTCATAAATAATTTGGAGCTTTTTAACATACCTAGAATTTGCAGGATCATCAAACCAGCTGATTTCTTGGTGCACAACCTTTTCAAATGTCATGGAACGAATTCGCTCAATCAATTTACTCCCTGCAATTCCAAATAAGTAGTTCTGTGCTGGTAGAGCAATAAAAGTAACAAAACCAATGCCCACATATACCAAAGCCCAGAACTTAGAATCTTTTCGCAGCTTGTTGGGAGGCTCATAGAACACTTTAATGGCTGTTGATATTAACAGGCCAAATATTGGGAAAACTACACCATGAACAACTGCAGCTAAAGTTCCGAGCAAAAGAATTGGCAATTCTGGCTTGTTTAGATATGCAAGTCGTCTCATTGGAACTTGTTCAGCCTTCTTCTTTCCTTTACTGTCCTCTTCACAGTCTTCTATCTCAAGGATATTAACATCACCAGGGACACCTAAGCCTACACTACTAATTGTGAAAGAATGCCTGCTTCCTGATGAAACTCTACTTATTGATCTCTGCATAGAGTGTCTCTGGCTTCCTGACCTATCAATTATCGGACTGGTTTCTGAAGCATCTGAATCTGAGTGTTGGGACTGTTCAGATTCTTTAGCTCCTTCTTGAAGGCGAATTAGCTGGGAGTATGCTCCTTCTGGATTCTGTATCAATTCCTCATGATTTCCTACAATAGAAATAGTCCAATGTTACTTGAAAGTTCTATGGATTTGATGAATAAAAAGCAATGAGTTTAAAGATTACCTTGCTCCACAATTTTGCCCAAATGCACCACAGCAATAATGTCAGCATTTCTGATGGTTGTTAAACGATGTGCAACAACCACAGTTGTCCTATTGCACATAATATTGTCTAGTGCATTTTGGACAATGCGTTCAGACTCTGCGTCTAATGCACTTGTTGCTTCATCAAGAAGGAGAATTTTAGGATTTTTTAATATGGCCCTTGCAATAGCAATTCTTTGCTTTTGACCTCCTGATAACTGGGTTCCATGGTCACCTACCATTGTATCAAGCCCCTGGAAATGCAAATGCAAGCATCCTAGTTACTCACTCCAAGTGTCAGAAAGGAAAATTGTTTAGGAGAATCAAGCATTCTTAAGTTAAAAAGAAATATAGAGGTCAATGTTGCTGTAGACTACTTGATCAAGATCAAGAGCACAGATGAGGAAAATATTGTTAATTGTTAGAAGCACATATTAAATTAAATGGCATGAGCTCTTCAACAGAAAATAGTGATACCTGAGGCATTCTGTCGATGAATTTAGCAGCATTGGCAAGTTCAACTGCAGTTCTAATTTCCGGATCAGTTGCATTTTCTTTGCCATATGCTATATTCTCCTTTATGCTTGTTGCAAACAAGATAGGTTCCTGACTAACTAGCCCAATCTTCTGTCTTATCCAACTGAGCTTCAACTTCTTTAAATTAATGCCGTCTATAAGCACTTCACCGGAATCAGGATCATAGAATCTCTCAACAAGGCTAATAACAGTTGATTTCCCACTGCCGCTTTGACCAACTAAAGCTATAGTTTTCCCACTTGGAATTTTCACTGAAAATCCAGAGAAGATCTGAACATCAGGCCTGGCAGGATATCTGAAATGAACATCTTTCAGTTCAATATCTCCTTTAAAGTCTTCCAATTCCATCCCACTGGTGTCATACGGATCTATTTTCGGTACTCGTTTGATGGTCTCTAACATTTTATATGCTGCAGCTTGCCCTGCTGCAAATGCATTCAAGGAGGGAGAAGTCTGACCCAATGACCTATTCCATTAAAGTAAACAAATAAATAAAATGACAATCTAGATATATTTCTGCTAAATCGATTGCGATGCAAGCACTTACATTCCACCTGTCATGATTGATGTAATAATAGTAATGACTTGTCCACCGTTATAACCATGGCTTATAATCAATCTGGATCCATACCATATGGCAAGTGCGTAAGTGGAAAAGATAACAAGCATCATTGCTCCAATTCCTAACCCTGATGCCAGCCCTTGATGAACAGCAGATTCATATGCTATTTTCAACTTTTCATTATACTTCCGAATTGCATGCTTTTCCCCTGTGAAGGATGCTACCTTGAAAAAAAAAAGCCAAAAAAACAAATTGATAAATTAATATGAAAGGAAGTTCATAAATGGATACAATGTATGCCTTTCATTTCTAAGCCTCACCGTTCTAATAGCTCCAACTGTTTCTTCTACTACATTTCCTGCATTTGCATAAGCAATTTGCCCACGGCTCGACATCTTTGTCATGATCAGTGCCATGAATCCTCCAACTATTGCAAGAAGAGGAATACAACATGCTAGAGCTAGTGCAAGACGCCATCCTCGTGCAAAAGCAATGATAAAGCCTCCGAAAAATGTTGATAATAGTTGTATAAACTTCCCAACCTGTTGAAGTGAAGTTAAAATTCAAAGCCAGCAAATTATATATTTGATAAGAAAGTGCATTATAATAAAGCCTATTGTAGAAATTATTATGTCTGAACATGATAATGGTACTAATATATAAAACAACATTACCTTTTCACCTAAGGCATCTTGAATGAGAACCGTGTCACCTGACATTCTTCCAATCACTTCACCGGTTGTTGTTTCAGTATCAAAAAAGCCAATGTCCTGTCTTAATATTGTTTTCAAGTACAGACTTCGAATGCGAGCAGATTGTCTTTCTCCGGTCACCATCCAACATGAAACCTCTGCAACCATTATTCACTCGTCAGTCATGTGACATTGGAATTAAAATAGATATTAAATTTAAATGCATGCATAAAATACAAACATTCATATTGGCAACCAAAAGAGTGGCCCTATTAGCGTTTCAGATGATTATAGTTCACTTCAAGCATATTTACACATCTTAATTAAGCAAAATACTGTTGTAATTTGAAAAACCAAAGTTTTGAATACATTTGCAAGTTAAGGTATGTTCCGCAACATTAGTTAACTGTTATAAAAGCTATATAGCTTGCTAATAAACTGTTTCCGAACAGGGTGTTAAGCTTCAAATGCAACTATCAAGTAAATGCAATCATGCTGGAAAGAAAAGAGAAGTCTGCCTTACGTAATAATGATGCGGCGCCTGCACCAACAGCCAAGTAGACCAGCTTTATTGCCATCTGAAGATTATACAAGTTAAATCATATTAATCATATTTATTTTCCAACAAGGAAATATCTATTTTGGTCTTATATTAATTACTATTTAATTAATACAAGTTTCAGGTTAATTAGAATAAAAAAATTCTATGAAATCAATGTAATTAAAGTGCTAATTAAGTAATAAGTTGTTCTCAATTAACCAGTTATTATTATTGGCCTTTTAATGGAAAAAGCCAACAAATAAAGGATTTACATTTTCTTTATAAGGCAATCCCAAACAAATCACAGTCAAACTTGACAATTGAAAATAAAAGCTATTGACTTGACATTTTCTTAAAAAAACTCTATGGGTATCTTTGAAACAAAGAAATAATTAACTCCATTTCCTAACTTACAAGTATACAAACAATACACCAAACGTTTCTTGAACTAAATTATAAAATAAAAATATAACCTACAAAATAAAAGTGAAAAAGAAAAAAGAAAACAAATAGAAACTGACATACAAGTGCAATATTCATTAACAAACAAGGTTAAGATTAATCCAATCCCATTGTTGATAAATTAAAGAAAGAAAATAAGATAAGAAACTGTCAAGAAAATCAAGATTTGCACCTTCGACACTTGATCCACAACATTGGATTGGTTGGCTGTGCCAAAGGAATTGATAAGCTGGCCAAATATGAGACTCATCAGAGGCTGAGCAAGCCCATTGCCAATGGCACAGACACTGCCAATAATCATCAAAGCCACATCGAGCCTGTCTGCGAAAGAGAAAAGCTTCAAGATTGGAACTTTCTGATTCTCTGGTGGGGGGTTAAAGGCTCTTTTTTCTCCATCTTGATTTTCTGATGATTTTTCTTGGTTACCTTTCATGGCTTCAAAAGAATCCACTAATTATTGGTTTATTGGATTTTGAAAAAACAAAAAATCCAATAATCAAGTTAATGCAAAACTATGAACTTAAGACAGATTAAAGTAGCAGAGAAGTGAGAGAGACGGGGAAAGAAGAGAACGAGAGATAGAGGCGAAATGGTATAGCTCCTGCTGTTTATATATAAAATGCATACATGCGTCAGTTACGAGTTACAGAAAGAATGACATTGATTATGCCATTATGGGTCTTTCGTTGTTAATTTTTTTTTTTTTTTTTTTTTTTTAGTTACGAGTTACAGAAAGGATATGACAATTTGATTATGCCATTATGGGTCTTTCGTTGTTTAATTTTTTTTTTTTTTTTTTTTTTTTTTTTTTGGGTAATAAATCTTTTTCTGTCAACTGTGAGCATTTGAATAGCTGAATTAACTATTTTTGGGTTTTGGTTGTAAAGTTGACAACTGCTACTCTGCTACGGACAGGCTAGGACTTTATCAGGAGAATGTTACTGAATTTTTCTTTTTATTCTAGAAGAACATTATTAAAATTACACACACCTATAAAAAAAATATATTTTTAATTTCTATCACGTTTTTATTTGTCTTTTTTTTTCTTAATACTTATTTTTTTTAACTCTGATTATTAGAAATAAAACGAGGCCACATGCCCCTATCTAATTATATTATTTGAAATCTATTTATTTATATCTATATATCTATATGAAAGCTACGACAAAAGCGATAAAAAGGAAATTGAAGGCTTTTTTTTTGTTTTTCAGTATCCTATTTTTCTCTTTTCTTAACAAAATTATTTAGTTTTTTTTCTTTTTTTTTATATATTGATCGGATACTTTCTAAATTTAAAAAGTAATAATAAAAAATTTTGAAATGTTATATTCATATTAGAATTCCATTTGAAATCGAATTTAACAAATTCAAATTTAATCTACTTACTTTTAAACTTTAATCATATTTTTAAAGTGTTATTAGAATTCTATTTGAAAATCGAATTTAACGACTATTTATATATTAATATATATATATTATTTTGAAACCTTTATTTTTTTTTCTCCAATTAGTCATTTAAAGAAATATGAAAAGACTATATATATATATATATATTACATTAAAATGAACTTTCTTTAAAAAAAAACAAAATTTAATTCCAACTTAGCAAATTAAGCTTCCAACAATTTACCATATAAAACAATAGGCTTAAGCTTTTATATTTCTACATATAAATGGCAATTTTTTTAAAGCAATAATATAATAAAAGTTTCATAAAACACAATTAGTTTTTAATATTTGAAGCAATCACATCATTTGAATTTATTAGAATTTCAAACTAGCTTCCTAAAATTGAATTTGTATTCTCACCGTCTAACATTTTGTTGGTAATTTATTGAACCTGATACCGATAAAAAATTAGTAGAATGTATATAAATATTTATTTATTTCGAAGTATTGATAAAAAAATTTATGTTTTGTAATTTCATAATTCAAATTTTAAACAACTCTTGGATATAAATCACGACTCGATTTGTTGTTTTTTTTTTTTTTTTTAATACGACTCGATTTGTGTTTTTTTTTATTTTTTTATTTTTTTTTTTTTTTTTTTATTGAAGAATGACATAAAAAACTATAAATTTTCCGATGATATACTCGATTTCAAGTATGCAATCGTCAATATTTCAAACCTTATATATTTGGGGGTGACACCTTTTATTACTTTTTAATAAAAAGATATAAATTTTCTAATAAATTGGTTTGGTATATGAGCTGGATATACTATTATTAAAATAAATAATACAATTTAATTCTATTATTGAAATAAATACAATTTCATTTTTTATTTTCATATTGATTTCTTTATATTTGCTCTAATATTTTTATTTTAAAATTACAAATATACAGTGAAAGGTTTTTTTTTTTTTTTTTTTTTTTTTTTTTTTTTTTTTTTTTTTTTTTGAGAAATTATATATAGTGAAAGGTTGATGTGGTGTTCAAGGAATTAAAATTCATCTTCGCCAACTAACAAAAATAAATAATTTATGTTTGAATTTAAAATTTCATAAAGAAAAATTAGTTTTCACTCTTGCCCTTTGTTTGGATGGGGAGTACTTTTTGTTTTTTTTTTGAGTGAAGGAAAATAACTATGGAAAATATATAGGGAAATATATATTTCCTTTCTTGGAAAAGAGGAGGAAAATATTGAAAAAAATATTTCATTTATTTTCCACTCAGATTCACATATTTTGAATTTCTCTGATTTGGAAAGAAAATAACGGAGAAAAGTGAGAATTTTACTAATTTTTATTAAATTACTCAAATGTCCCAAGTTAATTAACAAACTTTAACCCTTTCTTAAATACCTTATTATTCAAATGAAGATATAATTGTCAATTTTTAGTAATAACATTTTCTTTTACCTAAAATTTTGCTCTTTTCCAAACAAAAGAAAAAAAAAATTTTCTTTCATTCATTATATCCAAATGCAAGAGTAAAAAATAAATATGGAAATAAAATGAAACACCCCGAATTTTTATTTTCGAAACCTTTGAATTTTTATTAAATCAAAAATCAGAAATTTTGATCGTGTGGGCTACAATTAGAATAAAAAACCTAGACCACGAATACCGACAGAAAGCAATGACTCAACCCACGCGCCAATCAGCAACACCACCACCCAACCAGGAAAAGAGAATCAACAATATTTAGCCCCGCTCTCACAAACCACACCACGCTCACACAAGCGCAATAAACCTACCCACAAGAACAAACTGACTCCCGCGGCCAAAAATATCTCGAAAAAATCACTTATTTCTCATGTTTTATTTCACTCAGGATTTCACATACTTTTTGACAATTTTCTCTGGATCTTGACAAGAAAAATAACCGGAGAAACTTGGAATTTTTAACTAATTTTTATTTAAACTTACCTCACATGTCCAAAAGTTAATTACACATAAACTCTTCTTAACCCTTCGTCCTCTTAAATACCTTATTATTCAAATGAAGATATATTGTCAATTTTTAAGTCACACTTAAACTTTTTTCTCTTTTAGCCTAAAATTTTGCGTTCTTTCCAAACAACATACAAAAACATAACATTGCTCTTTCATTCATCATACTCCCAATGCAAGAGTTAAACATAACCATCGTATTTGGAAATAAAAAATGAAAAACACCCCGAATTTTTATTTTTCGAACCTTTTGAATTTTTTATTAATCAAAAATCAGAAATTGTTTGATCGTGTGGCTACAATTAGAATAAAAATCCCAAATCGAGCCACAGAGTTGCGAGTTGGGCCTAACCATAACTTATCATCAGAAGTTTCCGATTTTGAAAACAGTTAAAAATTTTCAAGAGAAATATATGGAAAGACTCCAGGCAATTTAATCTATTTATGATTATATATAAATTAATCTAACCCAAATCAAATTATCATTACTATTAATATTTTTAATTTTTATTGAGTAAATGGAAGAAAAAGTTAGGGAACCTAAGTAAAATAATTAAAATAAATCGGACCGAATCCAGAAATCAATTAATTTTCGAACCACGCGAATAACCTTAAAAACCAAGAAAAAAAAAAAAAAAACCACCAGGATTAACAAAACAACAAATCCCGAGGCTTAGAATCGCTGAATTGAATCAAACCTGTTCGAATCGAACCGAAATGGAACCCATATTCCTCTCCCTATCGATAATCGCCCGTTCTTCTCTCGTTTTCTTTCTTCTTCCCCTTCTCTCCCTGTGCCTAACGCGCGACAGCCCCCTCCCTCTTACCCCTTTCCTCTTTTCTGCTTTCGGCTCCACACGTTCGACAAGAATGAAGTGCGCGACATCGATATCCTATTTGGCGCTGATATTGGCTACGATTTTCCAGTTCTTCCCTCGCTCCGACTCGAACCTTCTCTAAGTGCGCCGCTGTCGGATATGGCTTCTCTCAAACTTGTTCTTCGCGACGCACTCTGCAACTTCCGGAGCCGTGTAGCGGCGATATCAGCCGAACGATAATGTTCAAGCAGTGACGCTGCCTCCGATGACTCTCCATCCGTGGATGTCCTGTTCGCACCCTATCCGCGATCTCCCTGACTTTGAACGTTTTTCCATCAAGCAAGCGACGTTTTAGTGAAGAATCGAAAACACCATGGCCGCCGCAAGAGGACACTGCGGGCTTGTTTCGGCCAAACGGAGTCCTACCACTAGTTCAAACAAACCGATTGTAGATTTGGAATCCCTCACAAAAAATTGGAGTCGGGGTGGTTGTAACCCTGCACTTTCTGGACACTCGCGACTTCTTCGGCCCACCGTGCACAGCGGTGGAGCGGGCGGCGGCGCGTCCGGTGACCCGGCGGCGAACACTCGGCGAGGCCCGAGAGACAGAATGTTCCTCTCTCACGCTGATCACCGGAATCGCTTGCCCGAATTCTCAATTGGTACGTCTAAGATCAACTTTCTTAATTTTTGTATATAAGAATTAATTGAGTAACGAATTTTATTGAGTTATTAAAATTAATTGAATTGTAATAATAAAGTTAAGGTTATTGGAATAGTTTAAATATAATATTAGGACAGTTATTGGTCTTTTGTAAATATTTAGGTTGGAAAGCTTGTGATTTAATTGGGGGATTTTATTAGGAGGAATTCGAACTTAGGATGTCACTTTGTTAGGAAATTGCTGATTTATTATTAGGTTCCGAGTACTATAATTTAATATCACTATTCAAACCTACGCCTAAAATATATTTATGTTGAAATCTAGGGAACATAAGTCATTTTGGAATATGCATTAACAATTGAAACGTTTTGAAGACGAATCGGATAACTTATTTAGTTAGAATATTAGATGATCGAATCTAAATAAAATTTTTATAAGTTTTTTTTAGTTATAATAGTTACTGTTAAAAATGAGTTTTAACAGGCCTTAACAATTTAATTACCATAAGTTTTTAGTGGTCGGCTTTATGACTTAACAAACATAATTCTTGTATGAGTATTGTTGTTTTGGAAGGAGGATGGATTTTAATGATTGATTTGCCCGACGGAAGTGGGCTGTGTCATGCCATGATTGATTAAAGATATGATAATATTGCATATCTGAGCAGGGTTTAGATAGTCTCAATTTTTAGGGAGTGCTGCCGAAACTTGTCGACTACGAACTTAGACTAAATTTTGATTAAAACCATAATAATTAATCTTATTTAGATTAGTTCTATGATTGAACTTATAAATATAGTGCTCTGATTAGT